TCGGCCACAGAGCTGTCTCTGACGATCACGATGACTTAGCCCCCCAGCAGGATGGGAAGGACAGCACGTCGCAGGTGAGGACTCGGGGCTCCGAGAGGTCACTCTCGTGGGCCAAGACCTCCGGAGGAAGACGGATAGTAAACTCCATCGTCAGTGGACGCCACGTGGATGAATAAACACGATCGCTGTCGGTATGAACACGCGTGGGGCGGCTGAGGGGCCCCTGGAGCAGGACACTGGGACTGGGGGCGATATTAGGGGGGAGATCCAGACTCCTGCTCGCTCCTCTCCGCAGGGCTGCAGGACAGAACTGGTCCAGTTGGGAATCACAACTTACGCAGACTCACGGGCCGGGCCGGACAGTGGTCAGAGTCCTGAACCCCGTCCGGCAGATGTGTGAGACACACTGAGACACACAGGCACACTGAGACACACAGAGAGACACAGAGACACACAGAGAGACACAGAGAGACACAGAAACACTGAGACAGACACTCAGACACAGACACACCGAGACACACAGACACACCGAGACACACAGAAACACCGAGACACACAGAAACACAGAGACACACAGAAACACACAGACACAGACACACAGACACACAGACACACAGACACACTGAGACACACAGACACACTGAGACACACCGAGACACACAGAAACACAGACACACCGAAAAACACAGAAACACTGAGACACACACAGAAACACTGAGACAGACACACAGAGACACAGACACACAGACAGGGAGAGGGAGAGACACACTGACACACACTGACACTCAGACACACACTGACACTCAGACACACTCAGACACTCAGATACTCAGACACTCAGACACTCAGACACTCAGACACACACTGAGACACACTGAGACACACAGGGAGCAGCTGTGCGGGCGGGGACTCGCTATTTCGTTGCTGCTGCGGTAGAAGAAGCGATGACACGGTGGCGGTGTGCGTGGGGAGGCAGTATTTGTCTTCCCCGGGGTACTTGCAGCTGGGATAAGGAGCCTGAGCACAGACACCAGACAGCGCGCCTGTGAATCTCTTCCTCCTGCAGAAGGCGGGGGGGCGGGGTCGACCCTCGCTCCGGGTCAAATCTCTCTTTATGGCAGCAAGGAGGCGGGTCCTGCAGCGCGCCCCTTCCTTATATGGCGGAAGGGGGAGGAACCCTGGCGAGGAGGCG